AATGGAAATACGTTATCAGGCTCTGATTTTCTAGACCTGTGTTTAATTTGTTTCAGGGTGTCAAAGGACCAATGGGCACCATTTTAATGGAAGTAAGTAATTACCTTACAGCTAACTGCACACTGCGTAAAACAAACAGTTTTAGTCTTCTTCCATTTATAAGCAATGACTGCAACGAGCACAATTAGCTGTTAGAAAACCGTATCCTTTTCAAATACTTGTCAGAGAGTAGTGGGTTCTTCCGTTTTGGAAATAATCAAGGACTGACAAACAATTATGCCTATGGATTAACACTGTGTCCAAACTTTTACAAACTGTTGAACTGTTAGTATTCCTTTATTTGTTTCTTCATTCGTGTCAGTTTCTGGACCAGCTCAGGTTTAGGGCTGCTTTTCACCTTCTTGTAAAGGAAGGCATTTCCTCAACAACAGCTGTTTTCACTGGGAATAGCAGGGCAGGATTTCTTCAGAGTCTCAATCCCATGTAAAATGAACACTTCTGAGTAGAAGCTCCATCTAACCCCTGCATGGACAACTACCTGCAGGCAATACTGCTGCAGGCGTGTTCTGTGTCCAAAGGAGGTCCTCTCCTCCTTCATGGACCTCTCTCTTCCTGTGTGAGTTGCTGTTGAAATACCTGTTCTCCTGTGGAAGTGCCATTGCTTGGTGACCTTCTAGATCAGATTATTATAGAAAATAAAGAATGGATAAATGGTTGATTAATGCTCCAGAGCACGATTAAATGCCAACAGAACAAATCTGAAAAAAACCCTTCATTTCTGCAGCAGGGGCAGAGCCCCTGTACTATTTGAAGTAGAGAGGAACTGGAGTGTGTGATGCTGGATTTACTGTAGTGAGAATTAGTTCAGGAGCTGTGATATGACCTTCAGCTCAAGCCAATAGTAAGACTCCTGGTCTGGGATTTGCCATTAATTGCTTTTTTGTTTTGCTCCTGCAGCCTTGTGAACTTGTGAATTTTACACGAAAAAACTGCCGTAAGTAGGGAGCATCTTCTTTTACTTCTGATTCCACGTAGTCGCTCTTCTGAAATGGAATACCCTTCATTGGAAACCCTGTAGACTGGTAGTTTGCATCTGGGTTCAGTTTGAAGATGACTGGTAGGGGGTCTTCAACAGGTATGTGAAACAGGCTTACGCTCTTTGCTCATTTTTCCTGTCTCTTAATTACAAAAATGATAACAAATGTCTCTTGTCCTCATTTAAGATTAAATTAATTCTTTGTCATTGTGCCAACCCCCTTTGGAGAATTCCCTGAGAGAAGACGATGTTTGTACATCACCTGTCCTCCGGATTTGGAGTGTTCATTCTCTCTGACTTGTGTGCTCAGCAGAACCCAGAACAGTTTCTTTAATCCTCATCCAGTAAAATTGCACTGTTTTGAGTATTTGATTGTGGAAGAAGAGTGTTGTCTCTCACTGACAGACTCTGTCAGTTGTCTGAGGTTTGGATCAGGCTCTTTAGTGAAAGCAAGTGAATATATCGCCATTTTAATGAATATGAGTCCAAAATAATGAATTTGCTCTCCACCTTTTCATTCCAGCTTGCTCATCAGGTAAGCACATCTGGCCTCTGTATGTCCATTCTTTTATAGAATTGAAAGAAAAATTAACAATGTTTGAGTTGTGGAAAGGTTCTCACAATTTTTTTATTTCAATGTACAGACACATGTCCAGTTTATCCAACTGAAGTGGTGTTTGCCTTCGATATGTCTGAAGATGTTACGCCAGCTGCATTTGAAAGAATGAGGAACATCGTTATGTTGTTGCTGAAGAGCGTTAAGATCAGTGAAAGCAATTGCCCAACAGGCGCTCGTGTCTCCGTTGTTTCTTTCAATACCAATACGCGCTATCTCATCCGATTCTCAGAGTTCCAAAAAAGCAACTTGCTGCTACAGGCAGTCCAGAGAATACCACTAGAGAGATCCACTGGAAAACGTAATATTGGGGCAGCCATGAGATTTGTTGCAAGAAATGTCTTCAAACGTGTTCGTCAGGGCATCCTCACAAGAAAAGTTGCCCTATTTTTTGCCAATGGTCCATCGCAGGATGATGTTGCCATCAGCACAGCTGTACTTGAGTTGAGTGCCTTGGATATCACTCCAGTGGTTATTGCCTTCAGTCAAGTGCCAAATGTCAGACGTGCCTTCTCAGTAAGTAGATAGACTACACAAAATTGAGTCAGTCATCCATTTGCTTAGTGCCTACTAATATTTGAGTAAAGTGTGCTGTCAGGCCAGTGAATTCTACAGGGACTGTCCAATCCCTTATTAGAAAGGGGTGTATTAAAGGTTACTTTCACTCGGTTAAAAGGTTAATTTCACTTGGTTACCTATGCCATTTGTCTTCTGAAGTTCTGCCATGTACTAACCATTTAATTAACAAACTGTGGCCCGAATTTCTGAAAAAGTAGGAGTAGAAGGCTTCAATACAGCAGTTTTTTTCCAGAAGAAAATTAAATTAAGCAAAACCCCTTTCGACAGTTGTATTGCCGTTAGTACAGGAGAAAATTAACAACTTTTGGTTTAAGATATGACTTCATATAAGAAGACAGTAAACAAAAATAAGCAATCCATTTTACCAGGAACCAAAGAAAAACAATTCAAAGTTTCTTTAAGGTTTCATAATGCAGGTTCCATGTTCTCTCTCTTTTCAATTTATTTTTGTATCATCTGTGCTCAGTTTAACTTTTTTGAAATAAAATTCCTGCCAGCTGCCGTTTCTTCAAAATTGTCCTTATAGAAAGAAAATATGTTTACTTACATGTGACAAAAAAGTGCAAAACTTGGAGTCTAAATTCTGATCTAGTAGCATCTAAGTCAGCTGTTTAATCTTCATATTCTATTTATTTTCATGCAGCCTTGTATCTGTTAGTCAATTCACATATGTAGCTGGTTGGATGTTAATTTAGCGGAATGAAGAAATTCTGCTGGCGTATGAGAAGGAAGCTTACAGTTTATTCACGGGTTTGCTTGCACCACAGGATACACAGGAGCAAGCATCAGTATTGTGTTTACTTAGTATAAGCAGATTATGAATCTGAATGCATATGATGACGTCTGATATTTACAAAGGTGCCAACTTTCCATGAATTTTCAGAGTAGAAAAGTTTAAAAAAGCTGCTTAGCAGGGAAGAAGGCAAAAAATTCACTGCCCAACCTCACCACCACCACCCAAGAAAATACAACTTCCCTTTTTCTTTCAGATGGACTTCTGCCCCTGCAGTTGAGAGGTGGTTTAATCTTCACACTCCTACCAACCTGTAGCCACAGATACTTACTGGCTTTGGTTGGTTTGCTTTAGGAGCCTCAGTTTGGAGATTACTTAAACAGTCATTGTCAATTCTAATCCCTTTGAAAATGCCTATCTGTAACATCCTTTACAGACATTAATCAGAAGTTAATTGTGTTGTGTATAACACACACAAAGCTTAAATTTAATTCAAAGAAGTAATTATTTCTTTCCTCACCATTTTATCTTATATATGGTTTATTTTGTGCAATATTATGGTATTTTACAGCCATTTTTACTTATCTTTGTCCACAAGGAAATGTTTTTTCGCTTGAATCACATTTGGATGGGGTTTGGTAGTCAGTGAAATTGTAGGATGTTGTTGGAGCTTCTTCAGGGTTCCTCAAGCATTTCTGTGGTCAAATCTTCTACTGGGGAAGATTGTCTGTCTTCAGCTGATCACAAGCAACACATATGTTGTTCTAATGCTGGAATTTTCTCTCACAAGAAAACATCTTCACTGTGGAGAATTTCCCTTTGTCCCAGAAAGAGATGAGATAGGAGATCCTGCCTTTTTCTCTGTAGGACACTCCTAAGAAAAGAAAAAAAGTGGTAGCCCTTTACTTGTCTTCATATCTTTTACCTGCCCTGAGATTTCCATTTGTACCTATAAAGCTGTCTCCCCATTTTTTAAAAAGAAAGTATTTTTCAGACCAGAATATAGTGCCATGCATTGTCAGGGAGAGAATTTGTTGACCTTTACAGAAAAGCTCTTGATCTATGAATTTAAACCATGAGGGTTTTCTTTCATCTGCATTCAATTGCAATCCCACAATGACTCATTTTTCCCTTCATTTGTATTACAGTAGCACACAGCCACCCCAGTCAAGACCTGGGTGGCCATATGCATACAAACAGAGAATAAAAGTGGAGTCCTGCCTAATCTAGAATCTAGGAAGAAAAGAAAGACGACATAAAATGAGTTGAACAAAGGACCTAAGTTCAACACCATGTAAAAATATCCAACCTAGCTTTGAATAATCTTCCGTGTCTGTCTTAATTCAATACTCTTAGCTGATAAACCGTGCTAACACCAAGTAATTGTCATTAGCAGCTACAGTAACCTGACAATCTCTGTATGGCACAACACGGAGTTAAACCTTTAGGCATAAAGCAGTTTCCTTTTAATGCTCCAGAATAGCAACTGAAAAAGTCTTCTGTATACCTGTTCAATATTACAACAGCAGTGAAACTACCAAGTTAGAGATAGTATCTATTTTAACAGAGAAATAGTAATAGTATTGAGTATTAAGAACAAAGAGAAAACCTCTGTATTTTGCATATATCTTTTTAATGTTACTTTTGTGTCTGCTTTAAAACATAGATTGATGATACTAGAAGATTTCAATTATTCGTTTGGGAAAGACAACAGGATGAAAGTTTGGAGAGTATCACACATTGTACACTTTGCTTCGGTAAGACAATTTACAGATTCCAGCTGTTGTATTGGTCTTTTTACCCTTTCAATAACAAATCCTATCCATTTTATTTTGCAGTGTCGTGTTGGGGAATTTTTATGGTACCCCTTAAACATGTTTGTGCTTAAATATTAAAAAAAAAAAAGTTGAATGAACAATGCATTGGGCAGAGTCCTGCTGCCATAAGCGGTTCTACAAGGAGTCTGCAAACGTGCTTTAAGAGCCAATTCTTTACATACACTTGCACAAGCACCAGTCCCATCAGTGGTTGCATGGGGCTCGCATTCCAGGGTGGCTACAAGACAATGTTGTAGCTGTTTCTTATCATCACCAAGAGAAACTTCACTCACTCACCAGGAATCATTCTGCCTTTGGGATTTCTGCTTCCAGCCAGTTTTAGGCCTTCTGCAACTGGGCCTTCTTGCCCTCCATGCCACATCATTCCTTGGTTACAAATTAGCAGTGGTGAGAAGTTACAATTTTAATTTCCCCTTCAGTGGATGGTAAGAGTTAGAATCTCAAAACCACAAAAGCTGTGTAGTTTCTGTCTCAGCCATGTGAAATGAATTATTGTGTTTTGCATTTCCTTTTAAACAGAAATGCACTTAAAATAGCATTATGATTCAGGGAAACCAGGCTCATTTACTGTAAATTCTACATTGTGAGGGGGGTAGAAGCTACTAAATGATAATATTTCAGAATGCTGAACAATAATCTGAGATGAAAGATAGAGTTAGTTCCAGTTTCCTTTACAATTTTTAGATTTCGACAGAAGAAAATTTCTCAAGGGAACTTGTATCTGTTAAGTTTTACCTTATGAACACTTTTTGCTCTCATGCCTGAATAATTTCCCATGGTATCACAAAACCTTGTTCAGCAAGAGTCATCTGTTGTTCCTTACTAGAACAAGAACATTGCAAGTTGCCAAACTGATTTTTTTTTTTAGCTAAAATTTAAGAAAAATAAAATAAATTACTAGAACTGTGTGAATTTTTTTCTAAACTATTGCTTTTATTGTATTGCTAAATACTTTGCTGCTTATTGGCTCATCCTCTCTAGATAAATGCAAACCAAGTACCAACTGCGAGATGCCCTTTTCACCCCCTGTTCTGATGGATATGGATATCACTTACATCATGGACAGCTCTCACAGTGTCAGCAGTGAAGAGTTTCAGAGAGCCAAAGACTTTGTGAGCAACATGTTAGATCAGTTTGTTGTTTCCTCACAGCCAAACGAATCGTACGGAGGCATCAGAGTGGCACTCGTGCAGCAGGCTCCAAGGGGCTTCCTGCCTGACAGAAACCAGACCCCTGTGGCCTTGGAGTTTGATCTCGTCACATACAGCAATAAAGATTTGATGAAGAAACATATCCAAGAGTCTGTTCACCAGCTGGAAGGACCGTCAGCCATTGCTTCTGCCCTACAGTGGACAGTTGAAAATGTGTTCTTTAAAGCCCCCAGACAAAGAAAACACAGGGTCATATTTGCAATAGTTGGAAGCAAAACAAGCATGTGGGACAGAGAGAAGCTGGGAGAGATTTCACTGGGAGCCAAGTGCCAAGGGTTCACCTTGTTCACTCTTGCGCTTGGCAATGATGTGAGTGACAATCAACTGATGGAGCTGTCAAGCTCCCCCACAGACCAGCACTTACTGATGATGGGCAGGGTTTCAACATCTGAGATGGTGTACGCTCAGAGATTTATCCGGGCATTTCTAAATCTTCTACAACGTAAGTAGCACTCAATAGCATTTGCTGAAGTTATGGAAAAAAAGAGAAATGCCATGTAGAAAAAGGTAGTCAGTGTATATGTGCTATTGTTCAGTTTCTAGTGAGAAGTTAGTAGCCAATCTTTCATCTCTAGTTTGCTGCAGATGCTGGACACTAATGAAAGTGCCACTAAGGACAGAACAGCATTACATTCTAATGGTGCCTTAGGCCAAATTCTTAAGTGTTTTTTTTCCCCTTAAGTTTGTGTTTAATTTGTGACTTTCTGGACTACACTCTCACTAGAGGAAGACCATTCTCCAAGTAAAAGAACACAATTATATTCCTGATTTAGGCCTACATTTGTCCTCTGACCATTGGCAGGTCCAGATTTACTGAGGTGTTTATGCTTATTTAGGCTTTGGGGCAGATGCAAGTTTAAACATTTAGGAGATTTGGCATTAACCTCTCTTTACTGCAGTTGTTCCTCCTCTGTAGAGCAGAGAAAGAACTTCTTCACTTTTCAAGACACATTCGTGCAGATTAGCAGGTTTTAGGTGCTTTGAAATATGAATGAAAATATCAAGAAGGAAATTGTCACTGAATTAAAACCCTCATCAGAAGTATGTACTTAGAGATGTCAAAGTTGGTATAGAAAGATAAATAGTGTATTACAGAGCAAGATAAAATTATAAAAGGTTGGTTCAGGAGTCATTCTCATCTAGCTGATCTCTAACATAATTTATGTTTTCCTGGACATAGTGCCAGTCACTCTAGATATGGTGTGTTACTTATGGAAAGATGCAAATGCCAGTTCACAACAACAAAAGTCTTATAGTGCTTTTTATTAAATGTACTGGGGTTTGGAGGACTTTAAAACTCACCTGTGGTATCTGTGCTTTTCCCACAGAAGAAATGAACAGTTATCCTTCATCTGAACTTCAAGAAGAGTGTGAAAACTTAGATCAGGGAGACACACAACAGCAAGTGTCTATTATTGAAAGGTTTGGAATTGTCTGTTAAACTTTGAGTGTCTATCTCTGAATGTAGGATTTCTTCCTTTGGGTTAGTAGTTATATTCGAAGTAGCTTTAACAAAAACAGGATCAGGATCAAAATTTTTTTCACAGTATTCAGCGGGAATGAACCAGATGTATTTTTCAAGGCCATGTTGGTGCTTAAATATCTTATTTATTTTTTTTCCCCTCTCTTTGGAAGAATGCCTTTTCCTGGAACTGAGGAATCTGGCTACGGTACTCTTTTAGAAGACATTGAGAGAACTGAAAGTAGAGTCCTGGAGATTATTAGAGAGACCACCACAGAACCTATTTACACAATGCCAGAAATGAGATATAATTATAAGGAGAATGAGTATTTGACAGAGGAAGATGCTGAAGGAGAAAAGCCCCAAGAGTATGGAGAAGCTCAGGAGGAGAACAAGGAAAACTTAGAGGCAACAGTAGAAACTAGAGCTGCCTACAGTGATTATGGTATGATTTTAGAATATGAAAATCTTTTTTAATTCAGTAAAAAGACTCTAAATTATGAAGATCTCAGATGAATATTTACGCAGTATGAAGCATTTCCATTAATTACATTTTCCAAAGCGTTTTGTCACCATATGTTTGTATTCTGTCCAAATCTATAAAGTAAGAGTTTGTAATTAAAGGCTGAACTGCAGGTGTCATTATGACTTTAGCTTTGCTTTGTAACTTTTTGTTATAATATAATCTAAAGTTCTAATCCCCTTTACTAAAACAGCTGATCATTCTAAATCCCCAAGTTGCACTATAATTACTGAGTTACTCCTGCTGCTAACTCGGCTCAACGTGGAGGAACTAAATATGTCTCTGCTACAGTCTGTTCCTGTAGCAACAGTGGATCCCTCAGCAGAGGTATCCTGTCAAAATACATATTCCTCATGGTTTTTTCTTTGCTTCCTAATTTTGCATTTTTCTTTGCAGATTTGCCATTTAATACAATAGGTATGGGAAGGTGATTGTGAGATAATTTCTGTCTCTACGTTCTTTTAACACTATTGAGTGTATTTATTGTTTAGACTATAGTTGGAGAGAATTTCTATGAAAAAAATACCATGGTGTCTGCGTAGCTTTGGGTGTGTTAGCTTGTTGCTACAGCTGCCATCCCTTTGTTTTTCATCCCTCTCCACTCAAAAATGATTCTGGGAATGTCTGGTAGCTCCATCGCTGATGAGAGAGGACCAATGCTTTTGCAAAACTGTTTTGATATTGGATCTTTAATTAAGAGCTAATGTACCTCTAGGAATGCCATACATCCACAGAGCATGACAGTCTTGCTCAGCACAGATGGAATTGGTCCCATCGCCTAAGTGCACGTGTACCATCTTGAATCAGTGCTCCCATTAATCAATGCATGAACTCCGTGGTCACACAGAAAATTCAGTATCATGAAGATATGTTACTGTTTATACTTTACAAAAAAAGTATTTCCTGTGAGGAACTAGTCAGGGTCATTGCACTGATGTTGTGAGTGACCTAAGCTGCTTATGGGAGATGTATGAACTGCCATTCCTAATACCAAGTTGTAATTAGGGACCCAACACTTTAATTCTAAAAACATGTAGCACAGTTCCACAACTTGCCTTTTGAGAGATGTACTTTGTACTGATCTATTTCTTGAGATTATTGTTTTTCAGTTATTAGGAGGAGGTTTTTGTCATTTTAAATCATTAGGTAGGTAGTTTTATCAGTAATTTGCTTTACTGCTCAGTGCTTCCCCTTTGATGTTGTACAGATACCAGAGTCTAGAGCTGTTCTTCTGACTTCATTTAACTCTGAATTTACACTGGTGAAAGCTGATTAGATCTGTACTTACTGAATACTAGATTGCTGTAGAGTGTGCTACTCTCACCTTCTTTGGGGCTAATTTGTGCAATTTAAATCTGTATTACTCTGGAATTCAGTTAAGAGACTATCGTGGATGATTTAACCATCTATGTATGCTCATTAATGAAATTTTGTTGATGAATACCAGTATTACAAGTTGGAATAAAGAAGAGGGACATTCTGAAGAGCTTTAGTTACCTAGTCCCTATAGACTAGGTATAATCATTTTACAATATTTTAAGTAAAAAGTCTATGTTAGAAGACTAAAGACCTTTTATCATTCCTTCTGTTTATACCACTGAAAATCTAGTTGTTTCAGACGTTCTGTCTGGTTACATCAGTCATAAGAGGGGCTTCAAGCCATGCTGGCACTGTGGGCTTGTGGATGAATACTTAGTGAGTTTTTCTAAGACCTTGAACACTGGCTGCCTCTTTCATCTGACAGTTTGCACTGAACATTATTTTCCGCTGAAATTACAATGATGAGAAGCGTGCATCTTTCTTTCATTAAATATGTCTCTTATTTGCCTTTTCCAGATGCATGTGACCTGGTTCAAGATAGTGGAGAATGTCAGAATTATATTCTGAAGTGGTACTACGACAAAGAGCAGAAAATGTGTGGTCCGTTCTGGTATGGGGGCTGTGGAGGCAATAAAAACAGATTTGAAACACAAGAAGACTGTAGATTCTTGTGTATAGAGTCTTCCTAGTGCAAAGACACTTAAATTACTTTAATTCTTCAGTTACACTATCAAGGTGGTGGGGAAAAGAGATTGAAAGAGAAAGCTTTACATAGCCACTCAGCTCCTATGTTTCAGTTGAAAGGAATACCTAATTGCGAAGTTATTATCTGGTAACTTAATAGTGAAAATAAAATGAAAAATGTTTCTCAGTTGATCTGATACAATATGTTGAGTACTGAGAAACTTCCGGTAGCCAACAGGGTATTGTTTAACATGAATAAAAGTATTCAAACTTGACTTTGTTCCATAAACACCAAAACGTGTAGTTTTTAAATGTATTGAATAAAATGAAACAATACCTCAGAGATATTAATGAAATAACATTCGATGCGAGACATTAATGTGAAAATATTTTGATGCATTTGCTTCCATTTTTTCTGCTTATAGAAAACACCAAAAAGCATTTAGTTCTCAAAGGACATTCACTTACTAGAATTTACTTTACTTTGAAGATTTTCTACCAGAGAGTCATTCTTGGCTTTTAATTTTTTTCTGAATAATCCAACATGTAAATAAAATGAATCATTCTCAAATATTTCACTTCTGCTGTTAGTTCTTGAAATATATGTAAGCATTTTCTCAGAGTGTGTCATCTTCCCATATGTAAATAAGCATTGGTCCTTTTCCCTTGTTACCAAAGGTTAGACAAGTGCATTCATTTTAGCACAGTACATCTTTGTGGTTGCTCTTGAGGGAAAGAAAAAATCCTGAGGACATATTCTGATTAAAGATAATAAATGTAATACCATGCAGAAGGGTGAGGCTTCACTGAGCTTTCACACTCTGCTGACTTACCCAAACTCTGCTGTTGCCTATTTTAGGTCTGTAGAAGTCATGGTGCATGAACTTTGTCATCTTGGACCCCTCTTTGTAGAGGTGGCTGTACTCACCTGGAATTTCGTTCTTCTCTGTATTTGTGTACAAGAAGATAGATAAAATAACTCTAATAAATTTGCATGAACTACTGGTGAAGTGTTCCTTAACAAACTTTTCAGGAACATGCATGAACTTGGATTTCCAGAGCCTGGTGCCTTTGACTATCACCCACTCTGTTGCAAACAGTGACTTGCAACAGAGTGGATTCTTGTGAGGCTCTGCCAGCCTCAGGGCTATAATAACACTAAGCAACACAATGCTAAAAGTGACAGTGCCACACCTAGCTCAGCTGAGGAAGGGTCAAAATGTCTCATGTTTTATTGCTGCTGACCCAAACTCTGAGTGGGGATGGGTGAGTTGATAGAGCCATTGGTGTTTCACCTTAGGGTTTTCTTGCAAGTGACAGAATGGGACTGCCAATATTTCTGTCATGGCGTGGGAGATATTATACCCTCTACTTCTGTTGTTTTCTGCATTTGTGACTGGGAAATGGTATGGTACTTAAAGAGGGCACCTTAGCTGTCTGTTTGGGGGCTAGAGCTGGCCTAGTTATTTTGTGAAGCAATAAATTGAACCTGGGAGAAATCTGGGTGATGAATTTCATACATTGTCTGTGTTGATACTGTATTTTTGGTGTTGTGGGCGCTTACACTTCAGAACATGGCTCTAGGTAATGGAGTACCTGGTACCTACTTTTTTTGAACCCTTGGCATTCTTTTTAATGGCTGTGGTGTAAACAGATGGTGGAACTGTAAAATTATCTCTAGTGTATGGTGTGGCACGTAGTGATGTCCTCGGGTCAGGGCATGCCCTTCCTCCTACCCTTTTGCCTAGGTGCCTTTGTGCAGCAATGTTTACATAGCCTATGCTACCCTGTCTTCTTTGGTAGCTGGATCCAGTTTGAAAGCAGTTTAAACACCGTAGCTCAATGCCTTTGTGCCCATGCTAATAAATCCTGCTTTTTAAAGACAAATTCATTAATAAAGAAATAGCTGTCCATTCACAGAGTAGAAACTGGCATATGTCTGTCTGTACTGGGATGTGACTGTCTGCCATGAGATAACATTCTCTCCTCTAATGAAAGCAGTCTTCTGAAGATGTACCCGCTGCTCAGTTAAGTGAATTAAGAACAACCTCTCCCTGCTCAATTCCCAAGATATAATCCCAAACTATAAAGGAAACATGAACCTCTTAGAAGTAACAAGGAAGTGGCTTCTTTATGGATGTTGTCAGAGGCTGTATTTAGAGAGTCAAGCCACACACTTTTAAATCTGTTTAGGGAGCAATTCAGTTTTGCCACAGTAAAAACAACAGATGTTTGTGCTGGTGAGAGACTTAGTTAAGATAATCTGTAGCTTAAATAGTGCAAGAAGGCAGATATACTAACCTAATGCTACTGCTGTCATATGTCAACCCAAATGCACGTATTCTGTCTAAGTTTTGTAATCCAGAGTAGCTGAATTCTGAGGCCCAATCCTTGGAAAAGGAAGGTGATCAACACAGAACAGATGCCCCTGGGACCGAAACACTGCCTGGGAGTTCTGCTGAATGAAGGTGAGTGAATTTAATGCCCTTGCTAATTTGGTTATTTTTTGTTATAAGGGTTATAATGATGTGAAAATGCTCTTAATCTAGCACAAATTTGTAAAAGGTTTCAGATTGCATTTTATATTAATTAGACCTACTGATACATATCTTAATTAATTTAATAGAGCCAGATTGTGTTAGAGAGAGGAAGGATCTGAAGCACATTTGAGGGGAAAAACCACTCAGCTTTCTGGCTTTGTGTTACTTTCTAGCTCCTATTGCAGAGTTTGGCTGCATATCTGACAGGTGGATTGACCATCTTTTCTAATAAGAAAGGAGCCCAGCTCATCTAAAGCGCGTTAGGGGTAAATTTTACCTTTTGTAACAAGGCTGGTACACGTCCTGGCCATAATTTGAAGCCAGTGTGAATGGAATGCAAGTCTTATGTTCTTCCTCGAGACAAGCAAACTAGACATACAGAAGTCCATGGGCCCTGATGGGATGCACCCATGAGGCAGTTGAAAGATTTAATTGTGACGCCACTCTTGATAATCTTCAGTCAATCATGGCAATTGGCAGAAGTGCCCAAATACTGGAGGAAAGTAGATGTCACTTCTGTTTCCACGAAGGGCAAGAAGCAGGACCCAGGGAACTACAGGCCAGTCAGCCTCACCTTGATCCTTGGGAAGGTGATGGAGCAGCTAATCCTGGAAACCATTCCAGGCACATGAAAGACGAAAAAATCATCAGGAGTAGTCAGCTTTATTAACCAAGTGGGAAGTCATGTTTGACCAACTTCACAAACTTCTACGATGAAATGACTGTCCTGGTAGATGGGGAGAGAGCAGTGGATGGTGTCTACCTGGACTTCAGTAAGGCCTTTGACACTGTCTCCCATAAGATCCTGATAGAAAAGCAATTGATATATGAACTGGATGAGCAGGGAGGTGGATTGAAAATTGGCTGAATGGCCAAGCCCAGAGGATGCAAATCAGTGGTGCAAAGTCTAGCTTGAGGCCAGTAACTAGCAGTGTACCACAGGGTTCAATACTGGATCCAGTCCAGTTTAACATCTTCATTAATGATCTGAATGATGGGGCAAAGTGTACCCTCAGCAAGTCTGCAGGTGACCCAAAACTGGAAGTGGCTGATATGCCAGAGGGTCATGCTGCCATCCAGAGAGACCTTCACAGGTTGGAGAAATGGACTGACAGCAGCCTTGTGAAATTCAACAAGAAGAAACATGACTTCAAGAGGTGCTTTCTCATTTTTAGTTCAACATTAGATCAACAAAGGGAAGTGCAAAGTCCTGCACCTGGGGAGTAACAACCCCATGCACCAAAATATGCTGGGGGCCACCCATCTGGAAAGCGGCTTTGCAGAAAAAGACATGGGGGTCCTGGTGGGCACAGAGTTGAATGTGAGCCAGCAATGTGCCCTGGTTGCAAAGGTGAACTGTGTCCTGGGCTGCATTAGTTAAAGTATTGCCAGCAGATTGAGGGGGGTGAGATTTCACAGAATCACAGAATGGTAGGTGTTGGAAGGGACCTCTGGGCATCACCTAGTCCAACCCCCTGCCAAAGCAGGGTCACCTAAAGCAGGCTGCATAGGACCATATCCGGGCAGGTTTGGAATATCTCCAGAGAAGGAGACTCCATAACCCCTCTGGGCAGCCTGTTCCAGTGCTCTGTCACCCTCAAAGTAAAGAAGTTCTTCCTTGTGTGGTGGAACTTCCTATGCTTCAGTTTGTGCCCATTGCCCCTTGTCCTGTCACTGGGCACCACTGAAAAGAGTCTAGCCCCATCCTCCTGACACCCACCCTTAAGGTATTTACAAGATCCCCTCTCAGCCTTCTCCAGGCTAAAAAAGCCAAGCTCCCTCAGCCTTTCCTTGTAGGAGAAATAGTCCAGTCCCTTAATCACCTTCGTAGCCCTCCGCTGGACTCTATCCAGTAGTTCCTCATCTTTCTTGAACTGGGGCACCCAGAGCTGGACAGAGTACTCCAGACGGGGCCTCAGTAGGGCAGTGCAGAGGGGAAGGAGAACCTCCCTCGACCTGCTGGCCACACTCTGCTTAATGCACCCCAGGATCTCATTGGCCTTCTTGGCAACCAGGGCACACTGCTGGCTCATGGTCAACTTGTTGTCCACTAGGAGACCCAGGTCCCTCTCCGCAGAGCTGCTCTCCAGCAGGTCAGCCCCCAAGCCTATACTGCTGCATGGGGTTGTTCTTCCCCAGGTGCAGGACCCTGGACTTGCCCTTGTTGAACTTTATCAAGTTCCTCTCTGCCCAACTCTCCAGCCTGTCTAGGTCTTGCTGAATGGCAGCACAGCCTTCTGGTGTATCCACCCCTCCTCCCCCTTTTGTGTCATCAGCAAACTTGCTGAGGGTACACTCTGTCCCTTCATCCAGGTCATTGATAAAAAAGTTGAACAAGACTGGGCCCACTACAGACTCCTGGGGAATCCCACTAGCTACAGGCTTCCAACTAGACCCTGTGCCACTGATGACAGCCCTCTGAGTTCTGCCTTTCAGCCAGTTCTCAATCCACCTCACTGACCACT